CCTACCTACCCTTATTCTCCTTCCTTTCCTTCTTTTTTCGAGCAACGGCAACTGCTGTTTTTAACCCGACGTCGATGTGCTTTCCCGAAGGCGCGCTCTTTTCCACCTGCCAATCCGCCAATTCATTCACCGACGCGAAATCGTACTAATGATAGATCATAAATTCTATAAATGGATTTATAATCCATGCGCTTTTTCAACCCCCGACGAATTCTCCCTCCGGGATAAAAATAGAGGTCCCCGCGTCGATTACGACGTGTATTTATCACATGATTGTTTTAAAACGAGAATTATTTGGCGCGTCAAGACATTTATTGCAACGATCTCTCTTCCTTTTCCTAGACGTCTTGTTGACGAGGACCGATTACAATTTGCATGTCCATCGATTAAGAGCCAACTTTTTCGATTTTCCCTTTTGTAACTGACCCCGCGTCGGCGTTAATTTGTCGCGGTTTCCATTCTCTAAACCGAATTCGACGATCCGAATTCCGGAGTCGGTCTGTGTGTGATGTTTGCGGATAAATCCTCGGTCCCCCCCGCTATGCCTGCGCCACCCGGTTTCCCTGTCCCCTTCGTCCCCTCCGTCCTTCTCCCACCGATTCTTCTCCTTTTCCTCTCGCTTCCTCGCAGCATCCCGCGCTAAATAATAAATACGAGAGGGTTCCTCGGGAATACCCCGAGGGTGCCATTAGCGGGGTACAGGCCCGCGCCCTCGGACTTACCCTCTCGCACACTTTGAAAGATCTGTCCCTGTTTCCCTCTCCCCCAATCTTCTTCGGCTTCCACGACCCGAAACGCGAGTCTAATACACTTAGAGACGAGACGCGCGGCGCGTCTATGGAAAAAGGGCGAGGGTCCTAGCGATCGCTTTATGGAGACAGCCGCCTTTCTTTCTTCTCTTTTTCTTTTCCTTTTTCTCCTTTTTTGATACTGGCTGGGCGGGCGTCGAATCAATGACTGGCTTGAAATTTATGAAAAGGATCGAAAGATCATCCTGTTTTTTTGAAGACAGTAACGGAGGGAGAGAGCCGAGGGGGTAGAAAACACGCTAATGTTTGAGATATTAATGGGTAGGTGCTTTTCTCGTATCTTGAGCGGCATAAATTATCACACAACGAGTCTTCATAGTATATGAGTCAATCAAATTCAGTTAAAGGCGCCTGTAAGCCTTGTGAACGATCGAGATTTACTGTGGCATGGACGAGTCTACGATTATCGCTAGTCGCATCAGGATTGAAATGGATAAATAAAGCCCAGTGAATTCTATTTATATCGTCGCGCTATTTTTTTATTTACGATAAATCGTTTACACACAACGAGCTTTTCCTGTTATTCGATACTTTTTGCTCGTACCAGAATATCGTTTTGAAAGCAGTAATCACGATATTCGTTACCGCTCAGTCGGTTGAATTCCAAAATCCGGAATCTGCCCTCGATTAAACGGCCACGGCCATCGATCTCCCGATATCACGATAAAGAGGAACGCCGTGCTACCGAATAGAAAACTTTCAATCAGCGCGGAGACCCTTTTTTGGATCTTTTTCCTCGGGCCAGATCAACTCCCAGAATTCGATGCAAGGAAACATTGTGAACCGGCTCGCCCGTCTCCGGAAATCTGTACAGGACTTCCGGTAAATCTAATAGAGCTCGCTTGGAAAACGTCCGTCGTTTGCTCTAACCGATGAAACGGTTAATCGAGGCCATTGCGGACAATAGAGGTTCTCAAATGCTCCCTTCTCGATTTGAATTTATATACTTTGTCACACCGAAATCGAATTTCGAAAGGATCAAATCTTTTCGCTCTCTCACTCATCATCGATATACACAGGATATACACGGTGCTTTTGAATTTAATATTGATTAGTAATATTTAAATATTTAAAAAAGTAGTCAAGACTTTTAACTGGAAATTGTACAATGGATCGATTTTTCAAATATATATGTATAAAATAATTCATAATTCATAATTATGTTAAAAAACTTATTGTTTGACATGTAAAAAATTAATTCTTTTCCTTTATAAAAAATTTAATTATTTACAAAGTTTACAAATTAATATTGCAAAAATCATGCAATATTAATTTGTAGATATTTCTTGTTTTCTTGTTTTCTCTTTCTCGTTCTCTCATTCTCTCTCTCTCTCTCTCTCTCTCTCTCTCTCTCTCTCTCTCTCTCTCTTTGCACTCTAGAAATCTAATTGAGTATTAAAATTTGAACGTTCACGTATCTTTTGAAAACATTTGAAATAATGCGTGTTTGTCTGAGGGAGGGGGGATATATCTTTTTTTATAAAAAACGCAATTTTTTTTTACATGGATCTACAATTTTCATAAGAGTTCTTCGCTTGGTCGCATTTTCTTCTCCTGATTCCAAGTGCATTGAAACTGCAACTGCGGGAAACGCACGCAGCAGCCCTGGAAACGCGAGGCGACGCGAGGGGTAAGTATCAATAATTGAGCACCATGGGGGTGGCTTCGCTCGGCCATTTAGCGGTCGAACGAGGGGGACGATCCGCGGCTGGTGCCTATGGTATGGGGATATCGGTGGATGTATCGCACGGCGAGGCCTGCTATCGACATGTCGACGATGCCAGACCGGAGCTGTATATTCTACGATATAGGAAACTATCCTAGCCGCGATCATGATACGCGAAAATACCATCTGTCATTCGGGGATGCGTGCCGGGTCCTGCTTTCCCTCCCGTCCCGCCGGGATTTTCGATCCCGTCGTTCTCTATCCCGATCGCTCCCTCGATTCGTGACCCTCGATTTTTTCGCATTCATTCGGGTGATCTCCTCGTAATGAAAATGGGTAAATCATCGAAAGGTCAATCCGTGAATTATAATTATGACACAGTAAGAGAAAAACTTAATTAGAAACATTCATATGTGTACATATATGTTATATTATTTTTACTTTATATTATTTTTACTTGGGAGAATTTATTATCTAAAATTATTATCTAAAATTACACACATTATGTACACATATTGTACATTCTTCATAATGCATTCAATTTACTGCTGTATATTGAATTTTCCGCTGACCTTGTTTATTAGCAGAGCAAATTAATGCGATCCACTTTGGTGACACATAACAGATAATTGCGTTGGAAATATACATTGGCACTTTCGCAATCGAATTAGAGGTGGATGCCATTAAGCTCCGGAAAATGTTTTCTTAAATAGCATGACCGTAAGACCCAGTTAATCCAGATTCCGGAACAATGCGGGATTTGAAACAATTGGCTGCAAACGAACGAGTATCGGGAGACCAGGTCGCTGCCCGGCAGCCGTGAATAATCATGACCCATAGTCGGATTCACTTTTCAATTAAAGGTCCCGATTTGCATTCGACTCCACTGCCGTTGATCGGAACGCGCGACCGAACTGGGAGGGTCGACGACCGGCCGCGCCATCGAAAGTAGCGAATAACGAGAATGGCGATAAATCGATCGAACGTGTCAAACAATATGTCCTTATCGTGGCTCGAATAGCCCAAATATTGCTATACAATATTGTGCGCATGGATCATAGTTACATCTCAGTTAATAAAACGGTGATGAAGTCATTATGATTAATTCGACGTTTTCATATGTGTGCGTAAACATGTTTCAAAATATAAATATAAAATAAACATTATTCATCTTAATAATCAGAATTTAATTAAAAATGTTTCTCTCTCAATACTTTATTTAAATCATATTATTTTATTGAGTGCTAATTAACGCCGTTGGTTTAACTAGCACGTCATTTCCATTATTTCATACAATCAAATATTATTATTAATGTTAGCTGCTTCAATTCAAAATAAAATAATTTGATTATTTTTGTGCGATTTTTCTTCTCTCATAATGTTTAAAAATACAATATCGTGTATACTGTAATATTCTGATATGTATCAAATAAACAGAATATAAAAGAACAGTTTCAGTAAAATAATTGCAGTAATATCCGATGGCAAAAATAAAAAAAATAATATGATAATATATCTTTCCAAAGAACAAATTATACTGACAGAATTTGACTTTGCCACAGCGTCTCGCCTCTGCGTTTTAACCCCCATTAGTGACCCAGACCGCAGTACGAAGGTCTCGGGCGCACGAACAACCTAATGTTATGTAAAAATATCCACGGCGCCCGGTGTATATTAATGTTGAAGAAGAACGAAACGGACGAATGAAGGCGCGGGAGAGGAAAGACATCGAACCATGAGCAGATGTTCCGACCAAAATATCTAAATAAATCCAGCTCGCCCTTAAAATCCCAGAGTCGAATAAGTAATAACATCTACGGCTGTGTCCCATCCTTCCTCTATCTTCCTCTCTCTTTCTCTCTCTCTCTCTTTGCTTTCGTCTCTTTTTCTCTCTCTCTATCTCTTTCTCTCTCGTCTGCCCTGCCTGTTTCGCTTGCATAAGCGAGCATGTCCGATTTCGAGACTTTAATTGGCCGGAGGGAATTCCACTGCGTGGCCTTACTTTACGAGGAAACTTTCGAGATATTTTGAACCGGGCTGGGGTGAACACGTTGCATACACTCTTTTTCCGGTTACCCGGTAAGTCGGTGAGATTGAGTCAGCATAGAGCAACCGTGCGCTTTTGAAAGATTTGACTTTTATCGCGCAAATACATATGAGATGCCATACTTTGTAAAAGTCCTTGCGACAACATGTACTTTACATAGTATTTTTTTATTTTCTTCATTTGTTTTTTCTCGGGCATTCCAAATTTGCATTTGAATTAATATATCTATCCTTAATCTATTAAGAATTACATAAAAATTATGATAATATTCTAATTATTTTATTGCAATTTGCTGATTTTCGGAATATTCCGGATGCAAATAAATTAAATTTAAATAAAAACTAGGGAGAAAAAGAGATCTTCTTTTTACTATTTTTTAGCTTAAAAAATGTTTATCAATTCTTCACTTTATAATTAATACCAAATTATTATAATTTAATAATAGATCGAAATGCAATATACCAAAGTTTGTCCATTTTTGACAGAATCTGTTAATCTAATTATTGGGAGGTACCATTAAACTGCACTGCAGTAGTGGTCTTCGCATAGATGGATTAATGCGAACGGCACTGCAAACACGCGACGACACCGAGTTCATCCCGGCCGAGCTAGGACGATTTACGAGGTTTCACAGGCTTGTCTGGCGCGTAGATACGGCGAATGTGTCAATTACGATAACGCGCATCGACGATTTATCTGATTTATCCGATGAAATTATTTAGACGCTCATTGGCAATTATCGCATCGCGATTCAATCTGAAAGCGCGACGCAGTATAACGCGATATAATTTCGAATATTCTTCTTCACACTCGGAATTGATCACACTACTTTGCAAATTGTTCGATTTTTTTCCCATATTACATCACATTACATCGCATTTTTAGCTACAAAAAAAAATAATTATTCGCGCGAAATTAAATTCTTATATTGCTCGAAAGATTCGCTTGCTCTCCCGATTTTGTGTCGTTATCTCTCCTTGTCTCCCGTGCAAATTTCGTTTTGCTGAACGCGAAATAATCTTTGCGACTCGCGAGAGCCGGTTCGTCGGTTTGCACGAGAAACTTTTCGCGCACGGGACTGAACTTGGAGGTCTTGCTCGCTAAATTATCCGCCGGAAAATCGACGACTTCTTCTCCCGAGGTTTTCAAGCGAAATCTTTTCCGGCTCGCGACTCGTCGATTCGAGTCGCGACTCTGCTCTTTAAAGGGGCGATACTCGAGATATGCTCCCGTGGGATATCGATACGCGTCGCTCCTAAGAATATTCGGAACGTAGTGAAAGGTCGGCGAGTAATCGTAATATCGATACGGCAAGTCGACTTTGTTGTAGATCAGTCGATCGTCGAGCTCTGGGCCATGGCTAGATATTTCACGGAGCTTACGATAATTTTTCAATATGAAAGGCACTTCAAATTCCGCAACGCTGTTCGATCTTTTGTTGTTCCTCGGTCGAGGGAATTTTCTAGCTTTAAGAGAAATTTTGGGATCTACTCGTAAATCTTTCAACTCCGCTATTTCAGACGCTCGTTTTATTTTCGAACGAATTCTGCGCGCAAGACTATCATCGTCGTCGATTATTCTTAATACAGGCGAAATATTAAAGACACCATTTCGCCTTCTACGATGTTTCAATCGCTGAAATTTGTCGCTATTTAAATAAACATTTGGATTAATTTCGACATCTCTGATGTTGTTTGATATAGGTATTTCCTCTTCTGTTAAACGAAGGTGTGATAAGGCACGATCGTCATAATGCGAATTTTTTATTACTGGCAGCAGCTTCCATTCGACGACGTCATTCGACCATTTATTATTTCTTAATCTTGGAAGCTCCAAATTATTTTCGGGATCTAGGTCACCCGGTACGTCCAACTTAGTTACATATTTTTCTCTTAATTTATTTCTGGAAAGATTATCATCATCATCATCGTAAGAAAAGTCGATCATCTTCCAATCTGCGACGCCGTAAATTCCTTTTTCTCGTTCCTGTCTCAGATTTTTCAGCTCGATTTCAGGATCTATTTCTTCGCTTCGATAGTTTGTCGCTCGATTTAATTTTACAGCGTTATCATCCGCTTCTTTTTCCGGTGCCGAAACTTTCTGTCGCTCCTTCGAGACCCCAATGTTCCTATCGCTCGTCAAGTTTACGAAAGTCGTACTTTCGTTCGCCCTGTCAATTTTTGTCTCGCGATTTATAGCGCAAAGTTTTCCCTTAACCTGGTTATTGGCTCCCGCGTTTATAACTAACTTTTCTCTCGTGCTGACTTCTGTAGTTGCTGTATCAATTGTAGCATCGGTTTTGTTGTCCGTGAAAACATTGATCTTATGCTCAGCCAATCTTAACCTATTCTCATCCTTCGTCTTTCCATTATCGTTGTTTTCGTAATCTGTTTTCAAAATTTTTCCTGATTCGTCACTACTGGCCACGGATACCGAATGAGATTTATCAAAACGGTCTGTGCTCTTGACAGTTGATGTCCCGCGAATGATGTCTTCCCGCTTCGTTCTGAAACTTGTCTCGTCAACCAGCTTATGTTTATCTCCTTCCATCAATTTCTCGAATCGTTTCTTCTCCCTCTTCGTGCCATTTCTCATGTTTTTACCAAAGGCGACCTCCTCCAGTTGTTTCTCGTTCTGCTTCCTCCAAGCTTCCCGCTTGTTGAGAAGTATCACTTCGTCCTCCAAGCGATTCTTCCCCTTTATTGGCAACAAATCGAGCATCCTGTCATTTTCGGTAGTCATGTTTTTCTTATCGGCCAATTCCCGTTTCCTCTTCTTCTTCTTCCCTGTCAATTTTGCATCGAGGAGGTCGAACGAATCGTAAATAGTTGGCTCTTCGTAACCTAAATAGATAGAATTCTTCCTTTCGTGACTCGCACGCTTCTGTCGTGACTTGTATCCCGGCGATGATCCTGCGCGACTTTGATGCTTGCGATGCTTCCTGTGCTTTCGTTTCGTTGCTCTGTTATTTTCGCTCTTCTTATAATTGCGAAATTTTTGGCGTTTTGTTTTGCGATGTTGCTTCGATGGAACTTCCAGACTGCGCGTTTCTCTATGATGACCTAGAAATTTTTAAATATGTAATAGAGAATACATGTTTTATTAATTCTTTATTAATTTTTCGAAAAAATATAGAAAAATTATATAAAAAGCAAAATAAGATCAAGTTATTAAATAACGAAATAGTTTGATCCCGCCAGTATCTGAAAATAATATGCGAAATAATCGTCCAACGAATATTTCACCATGCATTTTTCGGACGAGAAATTACGTGGATATAATTATATATGATTTTAAAAGTTTGTCCGAGGCCATCATGTTTTTTTTATCGCGAAAATAGTTTATCGCCATGGTATTTAGACTGAAAATATTTCCGATATAACTAATTTTCCGATACCGGTAGTTGAAGAAACATGTTCGGCAATGTTTGTTTACTACATTTACCAACGAAATTTCAATATTTATTCTTAAATGCGCATTAGAGAGAATAACGAAATAATCGATTGTATTATTTTTAAAAGGCATTCTATAAATCGAGAAATATATCGCGAGAGAAACATGACGTACCATCACGATGCTGTCTACCTGCCACTTGGGGTGCAATGTTGTTGAACTGAAAAAAATTACGCGTATCGATTGGCAAAGAGAATGCATTTTTTGCCATCGAGCTTGCATTAGTGACATTGGGCATTGCGCTCTGATATTGTAGAATATTTCCGGTTCCAGTTCTAACTGCTCCAATAGATACCGGCGCGATCTTTCCTTTCTTTTCTCGCTCTTCGATGTGTTCCAGAAGTAAATTTAATTGACGAATCTAAATAATTGTAAAATTCTGTGGTGACATTTCCTATTCTTCTAACATTTTTTGTTTCATATAAATTTGATCATTATTTTTAATTGAATATTAATTAACAAATAACGATATCAGCTTTTTAACAAAGTCTCACCAAATAATCGTGCACTGTTTGAACCTTTGTTTTCTCTTTTGCTGTCAGAGCGTTATATTCCTTTACTAGAGTATCTAATACTTTCACTTTTCTCTGTAAATCGCCAATATCCTCTGCCTCCGAAATGTTGTCAAATAAAAATTTGCGTCTCGAGTCTTCTTCCGGGATGATTTCCTCACGGATCAATGGCAACGGTGGTACCTAGTTCAAAAATTAATACTTATTAATTAAGAAAAATGTACATATACATGATATAATTATAATACACATTCGAGGATTATGGAATATACTTCTTCCAACGGTTTCTCCTCTCGATCCACTTCCAGCATCCATCCTAAAAATTCTCGCATATCCGGCGATAAAGAAACACACGTTTTTCTCTGAACTTCGTTTAAAATTAATCTACCAAGAAGCTCCTTAACTCTCTTCATCATCGTTTCTGTGTAATTCGTCTAAATAACATTAATTTAAGAAATATAATAACTTGAAATTATCAAAGTTTCTTTTAGAGAAAATACAATCAAATTTCTAAAATTAAGTATAGCAATTACTTTATCCTCATCAAATCCTTGCCGATAAATATTACTCGCTGATACCATGTCTTTAGTTTTATAACTACGTTGAAGTCCAGGACCAAAGACATTTTTCAATTGATCATTATTTTGAATCTACGTCAGTATTAATTATTATCAATGACTTTTATAATAAAAATGTAAATTGCATAAATAATTTTTACAGAAACAGTTTTGATATCGCGCTACACGATTCTTTACTTGCCCGTTCGAATATCTGCTCGACGATTTTTCCAGCTAGCTCGCCATGAAGAGCGATGTCCATCTGCGACTCGTCGTCGACGTTGTCGGCTGTGAGAAGCAGCGTAATTTCCTTTCTCCGTGCGTTGCCTTCTTCCGGCTTCACTGTCTGAAAAATCATCCTTAATTCTTTTCTCTTTTTTCATCCAGTCGTGCGATCTACTACACGACGATCACCGATCGCCTTTTCACTCACACTCTGATCCTCCGCGTTCTCGTAAAGCACTTTTTCACTTGGTGTCTCCTCATTCACTCCCGCACGAAACAGATCTTGCTCGGCCGTTTTGCTCTTCTGGATTCTGGTGCGTCCGATCAAAGAAGACCCTTCAATTTTGCTTTCCTTCTTTGGCTTCAAATCGTCTCGATTAGCGTCTCTCGACATGTCGGATCGATGCGTGTGATGTCTTCTGTTTCTATTTGAAGACGAACTTGAACTATTCTTCTTTGCATGTTTCTCCGAGGGCTGCTTGTTCTTTTTATTTTTCTTCCCAGAAATCTTCTTCTTTTTCGAATCGGTTCGAGGAATCTGCGAGTATCGATCGAATTGTACATCGTTATTCAAATTTGTGGCCGCGTACCCGTCATCGGATTGATCCTCGAGAATATTCGAAAGCTGGAAACGATCGCTTAGACTTTTATCCACGTCATCAGAATCGCCTTGATTCTCGTTCACGTCGTCATAAAACGTGCGATACGAAGCAGCTGTCCTTCTCACTCTTGTTTGATTATTTACGTATTTTTGTTCGGCAGCTTCAAGGTCCTTATCGCCATCCACAATGTAAATCGTGTTCATTAAAATTGGCCTTTGATTCTTTTCACCACTCCCCTCGGTTACATCACGATGATCGTTAAATATATTGATTAAGTCCTCAGTTTTGTTATTATACCAATCATGCGAGATCGATGAATTATGACGAAAAATATGCGAGGAGTTGTAAAGTTTAGAATTTATATTCGTTGTATTTGCTACACCTGATTTATTATCTGAGTCGTGAGTTTCATTTGAGTCGGAAATTAATGCTTCGTCTATGGCCTTCAATCCTCTGCCAAACCTGACTTTTACGTTATCGTCCAAATCATCGTGCCAATCTAAAGACTCTACAAATGACTCGTGTAAGTCTTGCGAACTAATCGCCGCTTGTTTCTCCGGATTCAGATTTCGTTTCAGTACTTTACGCGTCTCGGACTCGATGTATTTTTGATTTTCATAAGGAGAACCGGAATCTACGTTGATCTTTGACCGTTTTAATGCATTTCTTTCGGGAGACAGATTATTTCCTTCTTCATCTTGTACAATCTATGTATCGGTGTATTATTATATTTGCGATTGCAAAGAGATTAATTATGATTAATGATAACGAATTAATAAATATATGCGTACTTTAGATACACTTGATTCGATAGATGTAGTGACGGAAAATATATTTGGCGAATTTTCTTTCGTAGAATCACTTTGTTCGAGATCACCTTTAAGCATGTCATCCGTTACTTTAAGTGTGATGTAATTGTCCGTCGCAATATTATTCAAACCTGCAATTATCAACCAAACATTTCTTAAGTTTCCCGTATATATCTCATCATTACATAAGTTTTATAAAAATAACGCAGCAAATTAAAAATCGTAAATGAGATGTTAAAAAAATTATAAAAAGTAGTAATAAATCTGCGATTGAAATAAAAATCGATATAAAAACATGGATAAATTATCCATATAGATTAATTATCCGTTATTAAAATAACGATAAGTAAGAAATATTCTTGATAAATGCACTCAATATTTACTTGTCGAGGATGTATCGGCCAATTGGTATCTTTTTTGTTCATTGTCGTTTTGATTCAAGCCGAAGAATCTATCATTCAATGGCTGTAATTGAGAGGAATTCGTGTCGAGTTTATTATCCGATTCATAGCGCAGTCTTTGATCACCCCTGAGGCGGGGTCCGCTCTTTAATTCACCGTCAGGCCAATCGTACACGTTCTTCAATTCCTCGTACAGAGGCTCGACATTGTTCGGATGTCTCTGATCATTTTCTTGATAATAATAATGATCTTCCGGTCTATGTGAAGTAAACTACTAGACAATCTCAAGGCTTGCAAATATACATATTCTTAATAATTAATGTTGATTGATTTTATTTTTAAATTTTTCTCAATCAAAATATTTAACAATTAATTGGATTTTTTAAATATAAATAAAAATAATTTTATATATAATTGAGAAGAAATGTGACTAATTCAAAATAAATAATTTTCGTAAAAATTTATATCACATTAATTAATTATATTAATAATTAAATAAAATTTTCAATTTTTCCAATTTCATATACATTCTGCGATATAATTTAAAAACAATGATACCGTCCGTTTTCAAAATCTTCATAAAAATCTTTCCAGGCCTCTAACTCTCTGTTTTGCTCCAAGATTTTGATAGGCTGAATATCTAACAAAATATTTTCGATAACATCAGGATTTGTGTCTATACGTGCATTTGATATGATTTCTAAAGGTTCATTCAAACTAATTTGCTTTCTATGATTATCGTCTAATGCCATCTCTGAATTCTTCGGCAATGCCATTTTGTTCTCAAATGATTGGTCCAACCTATCAGACATCTATTTTTTGGTCATTTGGATCAATTTATATTTCATGCAATTTTATCAAGTTATTACATTTATATAAAATTTAAAATAAAAGATATCTTGAAATATATATTTATTATTGATAACAAGATATCATCATTTATAACTTGCAAATTAATTCAATTTACCATTTCGATTTTGCATCTGTCGATTCTCCTCGATAAATATTATTCGTAAAATCTTCATTTTGATGAACCTTTCCCGAGTTTTCCTCAATCGACAGTTGTCTTCCTTTATTTAATACATCTCTAAGACTTGATTTTGATGCACTGGACGGCTTCTTGTCTTTCTGCTCATTTTTTAAAGTCTTATTCTTACGTTCGCCAAGATCGACGACTATTTGTTCCTTTGGCTCTTTGTACTTTGCCTTCTTGTGTTTCTCCTTCATCATCGCCTCGATGTTCTCGTTTTTCTTCTTTCCTAAATCAGCTGATTTATATCGTATTTTAGCTAATCGAAATATTGATACATAATTGATTTCACGAATTTTTATTTCTGCTATATTTTATTTATTTTAATATTATTTATTACGTTTATATATTCTTACCACGTTTTATCTCTTTCGATGTTTCATCTTTGATTAAAAGTTTATCATTTTTATTCCGAATTTTCTGCTCTTTTATTGGCGCATCGCGCTCTTGTTCTTCATTATCTTCATAATCGTAATATTCGATCATATCCAACATACTACGTCTTTTTCTTCTGTAATCGCCACCCTTGTCTTTATACTTCTTTTCAAGCTTTTGCTTAATTAGCATATCGACTTTGGCCTTCACAGGATCGATCCGTTGCCTAGATGAACCTTCGCTTTCCATTGCTCTATCATCATCTGTAAATGCATTACATCACTTTTGCATTTGCGTTACTTCTGCTATAAAAATCCCATCAATTTATACCTTCCATTACATCCTCTTCACTGTCATTATAATCCTCTTTAACTCTTTCGACATTTTCATACTCTTCATTATTTTCTTCTTTTTCATCGTGATTTACTGCCGCTTCTTTTCCAACCTCTACATTCTCTGCTGCATTATTGGATTCAAGATTCTCAAAGGAATATGTAGATCGTTTGTAACGGGCATGATGATTTGCGTCGGACATCTGAGAATTAAAATTATTTTGCAACGCAGAATTTTCTTCAGCGTTATCGTCGCGTTTGACTCTAATTGAAACTTTTCTAGAATTTGCAGAATTAATTATTTTACTTTGCCGATCCTCATTCATAACATTTTCGATATGATTCTCAGTTGTGGAATTAAGAACTGATTCTGTGCTCTTTGTCAAAGAATCTTCAGTTTCGGCGTCGACGGAAACTGTAAAAATCCATAATAATCTTCTCCGTAAATGGCTATCAGGCTCGTGATACTCGCGAGCCTCCGTTATAGTTCGCGTGCCCTCCTTTACATTCATAGTCTCATTTCCGTTTGACCCGACAACACGAATATCGATTCTGTCGGTATCCGAATTTCCATTCGATTTATTTGCGCTGCTATTCGTCGCACTTAGAGACGGAACCATCTGTTGCTGCCTTCGCAAATCGTTGTCTACAATCATGGAAGCGAGATCCTCGCGTCGATCTTTCGGTATTATCGATTCACCGCTCTCGGACGCGAATACATTCGCAGCTTCCAGTTTCATTGTCGCATCGATAATGAGATCAATCGAGCTCGAAGAGTCTTCCCTTACATTTGCATCCGTTGACTCGTCGGCATCGTTCGTTCTCGTCTGCTCCGCGAACGTCCCGTCTTCTCTCATTCGCCCCAACAATCTCGCCTCTATCTCCTGCTCTTGATACGGACGTTCCCGAGACTCAAAGACCTTGATCACGCCAGGTATCAGCTCGCGGTTTTCCTCCCGCATCCTGCTCGTCTCGAGCTCTTCTCTTTTTGTAGCCGCGATTGTCTCGGCGTGGATTCTCCGCGATTCATTTGCTGCCGTGTCGAAGCCACGCGACGTATTTCCCTCGGGAAACTTCTCTCTCGCGTCCTTCGATTGTCCGTCATTTGTATCGAGTCGCGATTTTTTCCGCGCCGATAATTTTTCCTCGTCGCTTTTCCTATTTCTCGCCAACTTTCGAGAGTCATCAGCATCGCCATTTATTGAAAAACGTATCGAATTTACGGATGTACTTAACGTAGCAGAGTCTTTTCCAAAATCGAGCGAAATGGTGTGGTTCTCCGCTGTAATATCAATATTTTTTGATATTTTTTCAGTTAGAGAATGTTGAGTAGGTTTCTTCGAATTTATTTTTGGAACTTCATTTACGGCGATATGTTCTGGTGAATTTGATGTTTGAAGATTGATTTTTACAAGAAAGAGTGATGTAATGTTGTCGGAAGAATTATTTAAGTTAGGCTCTGTAACCGAAAGATATCTTAGTTCAGAAATGTTTGCTTTGTTAGGGACCGGTGAGGTAATCGTTAAATTAGTAAAACGATTGTTTAAGAAAGACCCTTTGTCTAAAGGATACTGCGAGTCGGAAATGTTCAGCTTATTTAAAATCCTCGTTAAACTTCTTCCATCGTTATTAAGATAATCAGAATACAAGTGTACTCCTTTGATTTTTTGTATCCCGGTTATATTTCCAAGAGAGTCTTTAATTATCTGAGCTTCCCGATGGCTTTTATTTTCAGGAATATCCTTCTGATTATTTAAATCTGAGTTGAAGCTTCTTCTACTGCGTTTAGCGCGATCATGTAATTCTCCCAAATTTTCTTTTCCAAGATACTTTCGAAGTTCCACTTCTTGAGAAATTCTCGGGTCACTTTCAGCTTCACTGTCTATATTTTTAGCTCTCTTAATTCTCCATATTGTCTCTTTATATGGATGTTGCTCAAGATCTCTCTCCAAGTCAAATATTTCAGCTACCGCTCTTGGATGATCCCACCAGCTAGATTCTTTGAAAAAATTGATCGTGGTAAAGACAATATAAAGATAATAAAAATATCGTTACAAGAATAATTATATTACCTCTCGAAAGCGCATTTTTCTTTTTATTGTTTATTGTCAAACTATTTTTTAAATCTAACACAATCTTCTTCAAAGATTCCAGCGGCATATTTTGAGATTTCCGCTTCATAATCAAAGATTTCTGCAAAACGCTAAAATCATCTGCATGCATTGGATCGTGTAACGATACGATTTCTAATTGATTTTCCGTGTCATCGTTAATATTTCGCAGCTTTTTCTCACCCTTCAAGTCTAAGAGATCATATCTTTTATGTGTTATTCAAAATTAAGCTAATAATTTTAATGTTTGAATTATTTTAATAATACCAGAATTAGCGAGACTTTCAGGAGCAGAGTTGTAATCACGAAGCCCTGTATTCTTGCCGTTAGTCACTTTGAGATTCTCATTAGAATTCGACCAGTCGTCCGAGGAATGGAGATCCTTCTTTCTCCCCCAATCTTTCAGTGGCTGATCGGCTATCGCTTCTCCTTCGTAGACGCTTCTATCTAACCTGCACTCAAGAGTGGAACGAATTTCTTTTTATCTGTCGCGAAAGACGTGTGCTGACTGTTAGAAAATTCGTAGAGCATGAAAAATGTGATTGAATAATTCAAATTAAATTTATAATTCACAAATCGTTTTATTATTACCAATTTTATTAGAATAATTTAAAAAATAAATTAAAAAATTTTTTAAATATCATTATTTTAAGGTCCTGAAATATTATTCTATCAATTTTTATAGACATTTATATTATTTTTTAAATATATTATGTAATATAATATATTATATATAATTATATTACATAATTGACATATTATGTAATATAATATATTATATATAATTATTATATATGTACAATATATAATCGATTAATTAAACAATGCGTCATGTTCTATGGCTTACATGTCAGGAGGTCGATAAAAAATGTTGAAATCAACGTCATCAGCCTCTCTCTTAAATGTCATGTCGTTATCCAGATAGACCCTCTGAGGAACATCCTGAGTACTTTCCCCGTATTTCTTCTTCTGCAGCATCCATATCCTTTTATAATTCTGATCGAAGCCTCTCTTGCCGCGTAACCTACTTCTATAACCGATATCAGTCGACTCTAGGACGTTTTCTGTGTTGACGGATACTGTAGAATGCCAGTTTGTATGCGCCAGTGAACTGGACCAGAAATATCCGCGTTAAATCATTCAATAAAAATCAGAATATTTCTAAATGGCTGTCAAATGAAAATATAGATTGTTTGTAATGTCTATCGATTGGAATAGATATTTCTCCAAATTTAATTATTAAGATTTTTATAAAAATTCAATTAAAATTTATTCATCGTTCGAATTAATTTTGTTTTCTGTTCAAACTATTTTTTTTTATATTAAAGTAACAAGCTCTTACTCATCTAGTTGAGTTATATGATTAACACGAGGGCTAGCGTGGTTTATCCACCTCAAATCATTCTGCGCTTTCAAAACATCATCCAGAAATCTGTTTAGAGCCGCGCTACTTTCCTGATCTTCGCCGATCGTCGCTGATTCATTTATGATGTGATTTCGAATGTCGACCTGCGTTCAAACAACAATCTCGACATCGAATGCTTTTATTGACGTATCGACTTTTCGTTGCTTTCACCGAGCATTAGTTGCACATCCGCGGACTTAAATTAAAATATCTCGGAGGATGCGAGAAAATTAACACTTGCACAAGCGCCAGTGCCACGGACTGCGAAGGGGTTTCTGCAACGGCATTCCTGTCGCGAAGACAGCGGAATGCCCTGTCGCTGACAATTCCTCTCTGCCAGCCCCGCCGGCACGTTAGCGCGTTATAATAATACCGGGCGTTCCGTATATAACGCATAACGTGTATGTACTATTTCGCTTCCCCCGTCCTTTTTCCGACGCGAGCGCACGGCCAAGACAATGGCCCCTACATCCGGGAGCCGCGGGCGGGACGCGGTGTTATTAAAAATTCACTCCCTCCCCCAGAGCGGCTGAAGTGGCCTCTGGCAATCTGCATCTCATTCCCGTCGGGCCCTTGTGCCATCAGGTGGCTGGCAGCTAGCGCACGGAGGAAAAGGGGTGGAAAACCCGAGCGAGTGTCGCGACGCAAGACGGTCCCGCAGTTTCGCTGCGGAACGCGACGTCGCGGTCGGTTTTCGCCGAATAAAAAGAGGAAAAAAGAATCTTACACTCAATTATACGCGGCATTTAACTAAATAAAGACTCGCTGTCTTCCCTCTCATCTACGGCCTTCCCCCGCCCCAAGCCCTATCCGGGGCCTAGAATTCCTTTTATTAAACTGCCACGCGATAATGAATCGTTTTGTTGGCTAAACGACGTTTAATTTTGTCTTAAAATGCATAAGTTTTATATTACTGCATATTGTGAACATTAATAACATGCTATGATGTAGCCTGATTTCTCTCTTTTTCATGCGTAAGAGTTATATCTTATTTCTTGCATAATTCTCTCGATCCCGTTTTAATCGTTTCCAAGTGTTCCTGCATTAATCAATATCGCAATCCCGTTTGCGAGCTCCTTTTCGTAGGTTCTCCATCAATCGGCTTTTGCGGGAGTCGGGCAAACCAAAAGTACGGCGGGCATAATCAATCACGAAGCGTTTTCGGCCGCAATACGCGGCCGAAGAGAGGAACGGTAGACGACAGTTCGCATAGTTCCGAAACGGGAACGGTAATATCGCTGGCCCGGGGCGACCAACCCTTTGTCATTTTGTCATCCGACATAAGAAGTAGAAAGCCACGCGATGAGAGGGATGCTTCGCGGGGAGCGTCATTCTGCGCGTCTCTCGCCGAAAGAAATTAACGCTTGAGGTATTAAAACATATTCGAAAACAGAGATCTGCCGTCGCGAGTCGCTCCCTTCCGGTCCGACATAATATCATTTCCGTTATCATTCACATACTCGCTCCGTGAAACCTCGCGAAAACGCTTCTTTGGAAGGATTATCGTGTATCTCATCGAACGGAGAAAGTTTCAAATTAATCGATACAAAATTGAAATCGTTTCAATTACGTAAATGCATTTCGAATCTTTACTTTATTCTTCCCACGCTGCTGTGAAGAGATGGTAGATTTTCTCGAATTCTTAATCGAGTCAGATTTCTCCCTCGTGTACGTCATTTTGCTTCCATTGAGTTTATTAATTTCCGCCGAGTTCAAGGTAGAAATGACGACAAGCATGACGTAGAGTAGAAAGCACATTCGAAGGCGAGAGAATGAGAGAACAGACGATCTGACTGTTCGTTTCATGCTGTAAAGTATTACAAATTAATACGCTATCGCAAAATTATCTTTAGCATTAAATGTTTTATCTTTAAGATAGCATCCATAATTTTTATATTAAAAGAGTCATTATCAATTAGATAATTTTATCTTAATCGTAGTCATAAAATGTGAACAAATGATTGGAAACTTAAGTGAAGGTATCGATTGTTCGACGATTTACATGAGTCGAAGAAATGGGGCAAATCGAATTCAATTTAATGGGCGCGAGAGAAAGAGAAAGAGAGAGAGAGAGAGACAGAGAGAGAAAGAGAGTGTTCGTCACTTCATAAATCCGCTCGCGAAATTGCTCACGCGTATATGTATGTGGCGCCCGGAGTATGTAACGGACTATTAAGTCCCGATCTCGGGAAGACATTAATTTCACGGCCGCGCATAACTTTCCTGTCACAATTTGCATTCGGCCTGGGCCTCTCCTTGGAGCGCGCGGCGGGAAATTAAAAACGTCCGATCGTAAAGCCTCGAAAAAGAGGTAAAATATCACCGCCCTTCGCATCCTGAATCGTAATCAGCCGCGAGAGCCTGCGTCTCGTTCGACCCCTTCGCGCGAGGTACGCGAAAGAGAAATCCTTCTTGTAATCGGAAAAATTCGGCGGAAAAGTGTACCGCGTCGATTATATCTGTGCCCCGCGATATCTTAGCAAGGAAAAAATCCGAGAGAATTAATTTTCACTGTCGACGTATTCTGCATCTACTGATTAATCACTCGAGAAGCGATATCAATCGCACGCCGGAGACAATCACTCGAGCGTCTTCATTTTCCTAATAATTCGCGTGTTCGCAAACTTCCCTTGTCCCTCTGATTGTGAAACAAAAATCGCGAAGAATAGTCAGTTCGGTAGAAGCATAAGAAATAAAGACTTAAGCGATCGTTTCGTCCTCCAGTAATCGCGCGAATGTGAAGGGGAAACTGGGGAAAGATTCTCGAGGAGGGTCGCTCGCTCGCCATAATTTCTCCCGATGGAATGCGAGTCTGAGAGAACCATCGCTAAAGTATCCGTTATAGGCGAGCGAACGGTAGGAGAGTCGGTTATTTTTGTCGTTTCGTCGAGGAGAGATCGCGAATAAAGGAGCGGGCTAACGAAAAAACAACGAAGGTTGGCGCCCGGGAAAGAGTGGAGGAAGGGAAGAGCGATATAACGTACCGCATAAGAGCCATTAGGTTATTAAAAACAGTGGTCGCTAGATGCGAATAATGAACCAGCTGGCTGGTGGCCACCGAGGGGCGCGACAAAGGCGGAAAATTAGCCCTGATAACTTCACGTTTGAATGCGGGGGAGGTTCGGGCGCGGAGAGGAGTGAGAGGAAGGAGGGAAAACGAAGCGCGCTCGTAATCTCGACTCGCCTTTTCCTGTGATGACGGGCTTGTTCCCGTCGGCTGTGTGTTTGCGAAGACATCACGGCGAAGACGTCTCGATTTTCTCGAGCGTGACGCTCGCGCGATTTTCCACAGTGGAAAGCGATACCTCCCTTGGAATTAGTCCCGATGATCTTCGGTTTCCTCTCGGGGAGAATAGGATAGTGAAGAAAGGAAGTTCAAAAGAAGGACAAAAATATGCATTCGACATGCAAACATGATATTACTATACTTATCTAATCTTGATTAGACGGGGAAGAGAAATCTGTTCACAATCGATTTAATTATAAATTAATTCAATCTATTCAATCAATTTAATTACAAAGGACACGCAATTATTATTCTTGAATTAGCAAGCACTTACACATATCTACCTTTGAAAGACATAAATAAATATTATACGTATTTTTAGATATCATTAATACACTTTTAATCAAAATTTATTCCTTACATAAATTATTAAAATTTATTACAAATTATTCGTGAATTTTATTGCCATTTTTAAACATTAATAATTCAAAGATTTGATGAACGCGATAATGTGCGAATCAGAGCAGAGATTGACGTGTCGCTTATCGGTTACGATCGCGCCTATTATTTTCCTCAAATTTACCTGGTATTTCGCGGCTACACGAGCGCTGGATTAGCAAATCGTTTTCGCACGCGCACTCATGCGCGCGTCATCGGCGATAACGTTTCGCGAAAAACGATCTATGTCACGCTGTGCCGGTTGAATTGCGCCCGCGTTTGACGTCTCGCATAACAAATTTCGATCGAACGCCGATTGTTTTTGCATCGATTATCGATTTCAATAAAAGCGCGTATCTTCCCGCGGCTCGCAATTTCCATCAATTTTTATCGTCCACCTGGTGCGAAGTGACGTTTATTAAATTCAATCATTATATATACATATATTTTCAACGATGCTTGGGTAGGCACGTTCGATTAATCATCGAAATGGTAAGTTTTTCCACCGTCCTAAAGATACTTTTCAAATAATTAACAATTAAATTGTGCGACTGTAAATACTTATCGCGGAAGAAATCTCGAAACTACTGCATACGATGGTAAATCTGAATCGTTCTCCCTCTCGAGTATGCTTGAAATTAACACGCACACCTATGAAATACACGTGCAGCGTCTCTTACGTCTTAGAATTAGTCGAGTTTATTTTCGGCATCCTAACGAAAACTTCTTGCATAGAGGAAATTTCGTTACGAGGCTCGCAGCCCTCGCAGGAAATATCCGAAATCTATGAGAGTCTTAGAAGTACATAGAATAAGCTCCGTACGCGTTAATTTTCGCACGTACGTTTTGCGCGCGAACGAAATAAGGAATAAATAAGGAACGACCGTATCTAGGTGAATATCTGCTTTATACGGCCGTTTAATATAGCGGGCCTCTCGTTAGTATTCACGCCGAATACGAATTTGGGCTAATCGCCCCAATACTCGAGGACGCAGATTTATTTCCCGTTCTCAGAGAAGGGCGTAAACATCATAACTTTGATTAGATACGTTGCAAAGTATCTACTCTTCAAATAACGCAATATTAAGACGCGATAATTTTAACTGTCGGATAAATCGAGAACTTTATAATTTTTCAGAAAATTATCAGTTAAACGTTCATAATTATTATTATTGCTGTTGCATCTTAATATTAATAACGCAATGGTCCAACAAAAGAAATTCAAGAAAGAGAATAAGCATTCTCTGTAATTTCTGTTTACACTACGGTTCAGACTTTCAAATTGTTCCATTACAATTGTGAGAAATTTGCTTGATTTCACAATGCGAAGCAATTTGGAATTTAGCATCAAAACAATAAAACTATAAATTAATAAATGAATATTAACTATAGATTAATAAATGATTATTCTCTTTCTTGCATTGAAGAAAAAATTAATTTAATTTTTGTTGAACCGTGTAATTATTATTAATATAATGCATTATTGATGTCTTTACGACATTAATGCATTTAGAGTATAAATGCGCCCGGGAATTATAATCAATATAGATATTATTAAATCATAATTGTTATTAAACTGAAATTCTATTATCGCATTATTGCGTTAATGGTAGGAGACTGCCGATGTAGAGTAATATACGAATCGCGTAACCATGAAACTCTCCCCAACAAGCAATTAGAATGGCCATCGGCACAATGTAGTCGCGTTAGGACGTTCTTTTGACAACGGCCCAGGTAGAGGAGGCGAATGATCCCGAGCGACGTGATCGATACATCCGTTCATTCGACGCATGTAAACGACGCATCGTTCGCTGCAATGGGCCAATGGGCGTTTTGTTAAACTCGAAGCCCAACTTTTGTAGTAAACTATACGTTTTTATACGCGGATAAAGGTAAAGAGAAAACGCGGCACGCATCTGTGCGGGACGATTAGGCGATGGAGGACGAAGAGGATCGGGGAGAGCGAAGAAGCGAAAAGGAAAGAAGAAGGGTTGAAGGGACATAGGACGAAACGGAGAGAGAATGATACGAGGAGAGGATGGAAAGGACTAAAGAGAAAGATAGAGATAGAGAAAGAGAGAGGGAGGGGGGAAATGAGTGAGGAAGGCGGAAAGAGGAAGCATCGCGGGGGGTTGGTTTCAATTAGGAAGCAGTAACTCTCCCGGGCATTGTTCATTTCACTCTAGATTTGTATTCCCCGTTTGTTTGTTCCCGTCGCATTTGCGTTAACCTGAGCAAAAGCGAGCCACCATGCGTGTATACGCGATCAGCCCGAGCGGAAAAGACGAGGCGGGAAAGATGAGGCGATGACGGCGCGGCTTCGGCTCTGATTTTCAGAGTAACCGGATTTTCAGAGCGGAAAATATCGCCCAATGTGGAAGTGAGCGGTGATAGAGATAAAATATTATCGACTCAGCTAATCGAATTATGTATTCCAATTCGCTTATGTCTTTCCCCCAAAGAGACACATCGTCGATATTTTTGTAACAAATCGTATAATGATTCGTCCTTTCGCAAATTCTCATAATCGAAAGCGCGATCGAAGAATCGCGGGACGCCGAAGAACGTGAATTTTCGTTCATTTCGCACGAGACTAACGATCCATTAGAACGATCAATTAATCTCTCCCTCTCCAATACGCGACATTATTCACTTCATTAATAACCGATAAGCTCTTTCGACCATTATGCGATTCGTACGAGCGAGAATTGATAGAATTCGCGCTCGTGGATTTAAGTAGCGCGCAAAGGGAATTCGGGAATTCGCGGGAACGCGATTTTGGCCTCGTTAATGGGCACGATCGATGACCGATCGCACGGAATCGTCGTCAATTTTTCATGATATCCGTATTCGATATGTCGACGGAATAATTCAGACGGCCTTTATTAACGTGACTGAAACTACGGGTAGATGCGAAAACTGCATTTATCATATTTCAAAGACTTTGCTCTGGCGCAAAAGAGTCTCGAATTTTGCGAAAGTTACTCCCGCGAATATCATTCGGTCGGGAGGA